ATATACTATGTTATATGATATCTTATTTTCAAATTTTAAACTATTGCTCAAAAAAATATTTTTTGTATTCTGATGAAAAATATGTCGACATAAGTAAAAATACGCTCTGCTTGCATATGTAAAATATATATTTCACACACGTGTTGTAATTCTACAAATAATTTAACTAAAAATAAAGACTCAGATGTATGCTTAGCTGTTTTTATTTTTCTACAATATTCCGCAGTTGTTTCATTGTTGTAATATACAATTTAAAGTACTTACAGAAATGCATTGATGCAAAAAATTTATATTTTTTTAAATGTCTGATAGAACTTAGTCTATCAAAATATCATCCACATTGGTATTCATATAATGTGTATTTAAAATGTATAAAATATATCAAATTTAAATTTATGAACCTGACATTTTGAAATTACTAATAACCAAATTACGAGTATACAATCTTTAAAAGAAGATTACATATTTATAGTAAATATTCATTTTTAATTTTAAATTAATTAATCACCAGTGATTGGTTGTCAAAAAAATCAAAACCAATAAATGAAACGACCCTGAAAACAATATTGATATAATATAGGTTCATATTATGATGTTTACATTAAAAGAGTGTTTGAAATATAAATGAATAGATTAAATATTTTTTTTAATCACTGTTGGGTGCAATTCGGTGACTTCGAGGCATTTCATATTTGCGCCTGTGGTTGTTGGATGTATGATGTGAATGTGAAGTATTGGCTACAATACCAATTGTAGCCAATGCCGTTTTAAGGCCCTGCGCTAAAAATACAAAGTATTTTAAAATGCAACGATTTATGTATTATATTACAGATATAGTTTAAATTTAAAATTTGACAAGGTTTTACTGTTAATTAATAATTATTTTCAACTTAGTATGAAATACTTATACAACAGCGTACATCATAGACCATGGTAATATAAGCGAATAGCATTCTATATAGTATACTGAAGAGAGAACAGATGAATATCAGGTGCAATTATAATTTAATATATAACAAAAATATAAGTTTATGCAATAAACCTTGTTTTACATTTTTAACACTTATAGCAACGAAAATTACAAATGTATACTTATATTTATTACCAAAATCATAAATGTCTTAAAAAAATATGAAATATTAGTAATTACGAAGATGTAAAAGAAAAAATTCGATGAAAGGTCGGTTGTCCTTTTCTTTAGGATAGAAGTTAATATTTGACATATTATAAAGACCAAACCATATCATAAATATAAGAATAATTAAATATTATATACGCTATTGAAAAATGCTTATTCTAAGGTGTCGGTCGATACATAATCTTTTAGGTTTCATGTAGACAACAAAACGTTATTTACACACCACTATTTTGCCAAATGGTTTACCCAGTTGCACTAGATCACATTTCGTTTAGTATTTTGGAATAGACTTATAAAATAATACCGTTGTCTGACATTTTTTTGATACCATTCTTACTGCATATTTGTAAACGAAATCATTATTTCTAATTTTTTGTAGGTACCTATAACAAGATGGGTAAACATATTAATTTGTTGTATTTATGTTATAATATGTTCTGTGTAGTTGCAACGTTAACAAAAAAAGGAGGTGAGTATATCTTATCTTTTTACTACATATTATGAAAAAATCACATAATATTACTATGCTTGAAGAATCTATTGGTAGGTATACATGTATAAATGTATAATACATATAATTAAAATTTTAAATGTTGACAACGTATAGTATTAATAGTATTATTTTAATGAAATAGTAATCAATACATATTATTAAATAGAATGAGATTTCTTATCAGACTGTATATCTAACAGAAAAATCTTCTGAATTCATATTTAACTTTTCTTAGATATCAACTAACTTGCCCTCATATTGTTTTTTTAAATAAATAACACATGTTTTACTAACTATTAAATTATTTAGAGTTTTATCGTGCAGAGGAATGTTATAGTAAGTAATCTGATTTTACTTAACAGTTATGAAAAATAAATTACTTAGAGCTCTAGTTCTCAGTACAATAATATGTTAATTGATGACCTACTAATTTTTAATTATTTAAAATTAATATGAAGTGGAAAATAACAAATCACAATAATCTGAAAATTGTGTGGAAGAACTTAAGAAAATGTTATCGAATTATATTCAGTTGAAAATTCATAAAAATTGTATATATATATAAGATTTATATCCAAGATTTTAAAATTTAATCGAAGGTTCCTCCCAAGTTTTACATCAGAGCGACTTAATCTTACTAGCTTTTTTTAATATAATCTGAATTTATTACTAGTTCGCATACAATTTGTTGCGACGTGTCAGTTAAGGTTAAAATTATGATTATCTCTATGTATAAATTAATGTTACTTTAACAAAAATCAAAGCAGTGCCGAAACAATTTGAGTTATTGAATTTAAATTTTGAGGATGGATTAATATTCTAATGTCGAGTTCCATTAAGAAAGGATTTTTCAAAACTTAGATTTTAAAGGGTCCAAAAAAAATGGTTAACATACAAAGTGTATACCTATATATACATATTTTACGGCACGACGACCTGTGGGTTTCTATAGCGACATGCAAAAATATATTTTCGTCCGTCTAACTACGTGTTTGATCGGGGTGTAGATGTGAATTGTTATGAGAACTAGAACTCTACAATCTATCTACATTTGTCTATGTATATAATTATAAATCCCTATTTCCCTTATTCGAGGCATCACGCTCATCGCTAATCATTTAAAACAGATAAATCTATCTTCTATTTACGATATACAACAGTTAATATATAATTTCTTAGTGATCATTTTGCAGTGGATGCAACCGGAAAATTAATGAAGAATTTCACAATGGGTTTTTTGATAAGTGTTTGTTCATCACGGTTATTGAAAACAATCATGCTTAAATCTTAAACAAACTTACATCACCCGCGGGCCTCCGCGTAATTCAACATTGGAATTTAATTAATAACTAATTTTTCGAGCAATTTTCTGATTTAAGACGTAATATATATAATACGAAGAGGAAAATATTGCCAACATTTCTAGTATCACTGCTGAATGAAGTTCATACAATGCTGTTAACAAAAATCTAAGCTAAAGTCATATTAGGATTATAAACATCTTTATCGAAATCTATATGATTTTTGCTAATGTTACATATACTTATTTTAATTGGCTAACTTTTTTTATATTCATAACTATACGATTTTATATAAACTTAGAGCAATATGTGTGATCGCCGATGGAGCTCTTAATGCACAGTTAGCCCCAAAGACTCGTACTTACAAGTAGGATGGTAAAACTATAAATAAAAGGAACTCAAATTTGATGGTATGATAATGATGATATAATAATATGTATTAAATAATTCATAAAAATTGGGGTGGACGTCTCCACAGTAACACTAATAATAATAAACGCCGGCAAACACAGGGCTTGCGTACGTATACAAGTAACAAATTACAATAAATTATAATAAAACCGTAACTAGGTCACGGGGACACGTAAATTAAACAATAATAATAACAAATAATGATGATACGACCGTGATATGTGTGAAGATAATGAATAATTGATAACTCAATTCCACCAACCAGTCGACCAGTAGTACCGCGATATTGGATGTTGACAGGTCCAACGATACTTGTTCGATGACGACAGCGTTGAACCGGTCGGTTTCGACCACGAGCAAAACCACGTGATAATTTAAATAACGGACGCACTATATTGCACGGTGCACTGTGCTGACTTCAGTCTAAAAGACAGCCGAATCGGACTTAACCCATACAGCCATTTCATGAGTAACTCGTGCAGTCGTGCACAGTATTACGATCGCAACGACGCACGGGCTCGATATGCCGTGGTAACGCCAAAACGCACGCGAGAACAACACTTAGGTACGCGGCAGTGCGGCTACGAACTTGCCGGACGTACGGCGAGAGAGGCGACAACAGACAGAAAAGCGCCGACGCCGGACACACGACGGGCGGCTCGAACGGACATCAGACGCAACACGGACGCCGTCGGCGTCCGTCGGTTCGCGCCGCCGGTGACATTACGCGTACTTATCTATCAACCGCTGTTATCGGCTGAAGCGCGGATTGGGTACATCATTATTGTTTACGGAGACGGCCCGACATACGAGTCGCGAACAATGTGTATAAGCTCAAACTTGTAAGTTGGTACTATCGAAAACTTAATCGATTTTAATTTTTTTACAAATAATAATTTCTTTTTTCTTACTACCTGAGGATGGTGCAAATTACAAATCCTTATTTTGGTGCAAATTAGAAACGCGTTTTAAAAAAAATGGTGCAAATATAAAATATATAAAATAGAGTTTTTGTTTCAACCCGACACTACGATAGTTAATTTGGCTACTGACGATCTTACCCTCGTTTGTAAGTGCTATATTTATGACGTATTAATACTTGCCGAAATTACAAACTACAAACTAACATAATAATTGTATTAAGTTATGAGTTGTATGGAAAACACAAAATAGCTCAACTATACTAATTGCGTTATCAAAAAAAAAAAATACTTTTCTTATAGATGTGCCTTGTGCGATAAACTTGCTTATTCAAATTATAATTATAGGTATAGAATCATTTTTTAATACAATATGTGTGTTATGTATAGAATCATTAGAATCATTTGTAAATATTATTATTATTAGTATTATTTTTGTTGAATTTATAATTCAGCTACTAATACTATTCAGTACTTGATAGTATTAAGTAAAATACAATTTTTCCTTCTTGAAAACACAACACTGTATTTTGTCGATAATTTTATTCCAAAAGAGTTACAGGCATCATAGCTAAATAAACTTTTATGTATATTAATAGTAGTATATTTGCGATCAGACTCTTTAATAACCATTTGTTGTGTATGTGTCTTTTAAATGTATTTTCAAAAAATATTTTGAACAACTAACATTTGCATATAAATATTCTATTTTTGGAAGAGGGTATTTAGTACCTTCTAATACCGGATTTATTGTTATTTTAAAATCACCACAAATTCTAACCGTGCCATCTGGTTTTAATATTTTTACTATTGGAGTTGCCCATTCACTGTGGTCGACGGGAACTAAAATATTGCTTTTAACTAAATTATCAATTTCGGTTTCAACTTTTCCTTTTAATGCTAAAGGTATAGACCTAGCCACCTAGGTTTGTAAAATTTAGGTACCGCCCCAGGTTTGATATTTAGGGAAATTTCGTATTTGTTAAAAGTACCTATATCATCTTTAAAAACGTTGTTATATTTTTTTATAATATTATCGAAACTTACGTCATTTTCCATATTGAACAAGGTAAGACATTTTATATTTTTTATATCATTTCGACCAATTAATGGAGGACCACCATTATCGATTACAAAAAAACACATTGTAAATTTTTTATTTTGATATGCCAAGTCGACAAATATTTTTCGTATTGGTTTAATGTCGTTGCCGACATAATCAGATAGCGAAATGTCATTATCATTTAATTTGATATGACTTAACAGCTGTTGACTACCTATATAATCTTTTTGAAATTACGCTGTGTTGTGAACCAGTATCAATTTCGAAGCTTACATTATTATTTTCCACGATTAAATCTACTGTAAACGGTTTCGCCGCTTTATTTTTAGAAGTTTGATCAATTTATAGAAAACTAAGTATTCGAAAGATCATAATTAACTGTTTCGTCACCATCATCGTTATCGTATAAAAATTTATTTTGTGTTTTGTTATTTTTCATTTTTTTCTTACCCTTTTTACATACAGTAGACAAATGAACCTTTTCACTGCAATTGTTGCACTGTCCTTGTATCTGCAGTCTTTTTGAATGTGATTGGAACGGCCACAAATTCCGCATTTGATTTTTGATTCCTTATGTGTGTTGAAACCCTGCTCGGCTTGATTATGTCCATTTTTTTTCTTTTTATACTTCAAGTCTGCGTATTCTTCATTTTTCCAGCCATTTCTGTCATTTTTGTCATTTATTGCAGCTTCTTTCTCTAATTTCCATTAGATTTGAATATGTGACTCCCACTTTTGAGGCATTTTCTTCTAATAGACGATCTTGAATTGATCCTAGAGCCATGCCGACAACAAATATGTCTCGAATAATCGTTGTTAGTTCCGACGAATAAACACATTTTGAACCAAGATTTTTGATGAGTGCACCCCTTTGGCACACCGATTCATCCTGTCTTTGTTTTGCTTGATAAAATGTATAAATAGCCGTGAAGAACGATTTCATTGGTTTGAAATATTTTTTCAAAATTTTCATTAGAGTGTCATACTCAACATCGTTAGGCGTGCTAGGAACACATAGACTAAAAAGTACTTTATGAATTTCCTCACTGACGGATGATAATTATATTGCTGTTTTTTAATATTGTTTTTAATTGCATTTTCCAAAACAAATTCGTCAATTTTGACTCAAAAATTGTTATGTCCATACCTGTTTCAAATTTTCCAGGTGACACAATAACTTGATTGAAGTTCATTATGGATTCTGTCTTATTAATTGCCATTTTGTATTAGTATGAATACAACACTTGAAACTTCTAATGAACTAGTGATTACGATTATTATTTTCTTCTTCGCCAATTTGTTGAATATTATTAATATGAATAATAACATAAACGTGTTTTGTAAACCTTTATTAATTGACATCATAAATCGTTATGACGTACATTATAATTCAACTCGATAATGATCGAAAGGCAGTCCCCACCGATCGTAATTTGATACTGCTGAATAATTAATATAAATACTACACGGGTAATATAGTGTAATCTAAATGCTAAATATGCAACATAACGAATTGTTTTTCAATTGAACTAATAAAATCTAAGATATCATTATACATAATATATAGTAGACCGCAACTATTCACTCATCAACGCAAAAACCAAACTACTGTGTCTACAGACTTGTAATTGTGTATACAGGCTTCTTAAGCAATATAGGGGCGAACTAAGAAAGGATGTTTCAAAATTCGACTTCTAGAGGGGTAAAAGGGAGTTTTTTATAGCTATAAAATACACGGGCAACGCCGTGACGGGACAGCTAGACAGTACTAAATAAAACAACAATTCAAAAATATAATATATATACAGGAAGATGTATTTAAAGTGCAATATCTGTTATCTCCGCTCAGAACCGTTTTTTTTTGTATTCAATGAATTGGTACCATTGAATTCAGATTCAATAAAATCCATTACTTTGACCTCCTGGACATCTAATGTACAGTAGAGTGATCAGTGATGACATAGACTTACTCGATTTTTTAATATATTCAGAATAATATATTATATTACTATTCCACATACAATTTGTTGCGACGTTGCTTGTTAAGGTTAAAATTATAATTTTACTAATTATGATAAAAATTTAAAAATAAATATCCATACATTAAGATGTATTTAAAGTGCAATTTCTGTTAGAAGAGCATCATCACTTTAAAAGTTGATCGCATTTGCGAACACCAACAAGTCGATGCTAATGGCTATGAACTACATCTTTTTTCTTTCTCCTCTCAGACACAATAATACGAATTTCGGAATTAATTATTTTAAATTAAAGTCAACAGTAAAATACAATAATGCGATTGCAATTTACGGGTATATGAACGTTCATCGAACAGGTAACTAATGAGTTGAGATAAAAAAATACATTTTACACTACACGCTATTCATATAAGCTAGTACTTGATGAAAACGCAAATAATGTCATAATATGACATACCTAGCTGTATGCAATATTAATAGCAATCATTTTTATGTCTAAAATAATTTTTTAAATACAATCAGAAACATCGCTAATTAGTTTTGTGCAGAATAGTGTGGATGCAAAGGTATATGCGGAATCCTGTAATGTGGAGTCACTTACTGGTTTGAATAAACTCTCCACATTTCACCGAATGGGACCAATTGTTTATTTGAACCATCATGATACCCTCTGAAATACACACATAAATGTCATTATAATCGATCCAGTGGTTTAGCATGATTTTTTATGTGTACATACGTACAGAAAAAAAATATATAGTGACAAATATTAGCTGTCATTACTTATTTATGATCTAAACTTTTTTAGGGCAAATGTTTTATAAAAAACTAGTAGTAGGAACACAAGGTATGTTCATTTTTTTTAATAATTAAAACGCATACATTCTTTTTTGAATAACTTTTTGATGAAACTCAATAAATTACTGATTATTAAAGGCCTCAAAATGTAATCTGGTGATGTATGAGCCATACAACTTGATCACATACCACATATCACATAAGCTCAAAAAACAACTACTGTCTAATTGGTGCCTAAGTGTTTGCTATATCAAAGTTCTCACATACTATTTATACACAAACAATTAATTTGTCGTTAACTACTTATAGCGCAGATTAATTTTGACCACGTGCCTTATATTAACTAGTATCTGTTTTATTTATTCCCTTATCAATACGGCTCATGACAATTAAATTGTAACAAAAAAAAATTATTTAATTTATCTTTTTATAGGATATCAAAACAGTCCAAATGATAGTTATGACAGTGTAGTGATTTCATTCTGTAAGTAAACATAAATTAATAGTGCAACAGGAAATTTAGTAAATGTGTCATTTTTATGTCATAGTCGGTTATTTAAATTGTTCCCAGAATAAACAAAAGTTTTTATAGTTATAAGTTACTATTTTAATGTGATGTAATGATGTAAATGAAAATGAGTGTATATAAGAGAGAATAGAAATACTCAAGGAGCAGTTTTCAGAAATAGTAAAAAGTTTGATAAGTATGGAAGATGTTGAAGTAAAGGCTCTAAGATATTTTTTAATTGATAAAAAAGAACATTCTTCAGAGCTAATTCAATACAGATTTCTATTTAATTTGAAGATACTTCATATTATAATATTTTGCAAGAAAAACTTAAAACTTTCATATTTAAACGACCTATAATTAAGTTTGAGATTGAATTATTGATGAACTAAGTTTGAGGCGGGCTGTATAAACGGACTGTAAAATATTTTCCTCTTTCGAATTAAAAAAAAAAAAAACATTCAAAGTTGGTTGATTCTGTAGTGCAAAATCATTATACAAGTTAGTTGTGTTTTTCGGATAACTTCTCATTAGTACAAGATGCATTATTTTTGAAGTGTTATAAATAAATAGTATATCCAAATTGTGTGGCATACATTTGAGGTTCAATATGCGGTAGAACAAGAGGTAGAACAAGATCTAGTGATATTAGAACTAGAAGGCTCAAAATATCATGTTGAAATATGTGAATGAACATCTCCAATAATTGTAATAAAAATAATAATAATATAGGATAATAAAATATGAATATGTGTCGTTTAAAAAATACACTAAATCCTTCCAGAAAAATAGACAAACATCCGTTGCCAAAATATGAAACGATATTCAATCAATAATCATAATATAGATCGAGGAATTTTTATAAAATTTAACTGATTTATCGGAGGCGTATTTACAACTTTAAGTAGCCTCTGCAACTCAACATATTTGAACTTTATAAACACTCATAAATTATTGTATCAATTCAATAGACTTGGTCGTAATATCGCTTTGTCTCAAATGAGTACCAATAAGTCCTTCCTGCCTAACACTGACAAGTGTTCAAACAAACTGTTTCCAAATTACAAACAAATTATGGTCATAGTGATGAATTTCAAATTTGACTAAAATATATAAACAAATATTGATGTGTAATAAAATTAATCTTCTTATAGTGAAGGGAAGTTTCGAAGATATTACATGGTCGGAAGTTCTAAATGGAATTATCCGTAAGTATACATGAAAAACTATTTACATTGTTATATTCAAATATTATAAGTCATAAAAATGCAAATACATATTAATCAAATATTTCATAAATATGTATTAATGATAATACATATTTCATAAATATGTATTAATGATAATACAGAGAGCGATTTACATCAGGATATAGGGAATCAATTTCTTCAAAAAATATTATGATATGAAAAATTGTATTTTCGTTGTATTACTTGCTGACAATACGATCACACTTACTAACAACCGTACAACACTCATGTGAACCGACTTTAACATATGATTAAATCACACATAAGTATTAGTTGCTTTTGAGTTATGATCTATAACTACATTTTCCTTTTAAATTAAATTAAACTAATTTTTAATCATAATTATTGACCTTTTACAGCCATTATTATTTATACCCTACAATTTTCGAGTGAAATATTTTATTTAGATATTCTATAAACTGCTTAAAATACTTCGTGGCGTCAGAGTACCTCAATAGTTTAATTTTAATCACATATATTATGTTTAAACTAATTACACAGTATAATAGTATTTGTTATTGATTCATTTGAAGTAAAAACACAGTATCAAAGTAAGATATATCAATATAAATAATATAATTAATCTTTTAATAGCCACTGTTTATAAAGACAAACAACATATTATAAGTAAGTATACACAACTAGTTATTGATAGTGTTATATGTTAATATTTTATAAATTATTATGTGTTTATATATGATTAACTACAATTTAATAAGTAGTTAAAATACAAAAACGCATTAATCATCTAACCGAAAATGTATTAATGAAAATACGTAGAGCAATACCTACATTGCCATGTTACGATAAAAATTCATCCCTATCGGCTTTCGCATGCTAAGATTATTATTATTGATTATTTGGAAAGAACCTTATGTATATTGTCTATGTATGTATTTTTTAATCCTTTCATTTTTTTCATTTCTTTTTTAATTTCTTAAAGATTCACATATTGGTTTTGCTTCTAAACTGATTAGATATTAGTGGGTGAGGAAAGAGTGCCCGATTCCGCTACGGGTGATTACAATATTTTGCCGTCAGTTGAAATTATTAGGAGTATTACATTTGCAATTGGTTTTTTTTTATATGTTTAAGTTTATTAGACAATAGTTTTGAGTACTAGAAATTTTGCAAACATGAGAAGATGTTCTGATTGATTTGAAACCTAACCTTGATGTCGTGGTGGATATATTATGTTGTTTATTGTATGGTTTAATATGGTTTTCTTTGCATCGTTTGAGACGACTATTCAAAATAATACCAATTATTTTAATCAAATGTGATTGATAAGATAAAAATATAAAAAATAACTGAGGTCTATGTGCCAAAATATATGGTATAATTATATTTTTTATAGGCAAGAATTCAGATTTTATAATGGAATCCGCGATCGTAATTTTTATTTGTAAGTATACACAGTACAAGTTAGCATGAAAGTTTTAGGCGTTAAGAAGTACTAGATGGTCATTTTTCAATATATTTTCCGTGGTTATCTGTTGGGGTATCTATTGGCTGTATTTTTTATCCTTAACCAATGTTGTGGCTGTTAAAATCGCCTCTTATTATAACAACGTTTACTGATTAAGAAGGTAATTATTACAAATGTTTAGATCACGATCATACCATTGGACTGCATTACCGCTACTATCGTTCTTATTCATATTTATGTTGCTATCATTGGGGAAAGAGAAGTTCAGAAAGCTGAAAGAGGCTTTTGCATTTTAAAATTGATTCATATGCCATTTAACTGTTAGTAATTTTAAATCTGATTCGTTCACTTTAAATTATAAAAAAATTTTGTCCATGTAATATGAATTCGCTTTTTTGTAGATAGATTCAATGCTTGTGGTTTCGAATTTAATAACTGCAGTTTATTTTTTTATACAACATATTTATTGTGATGGTATGAATATATTTTTTTTTTTTGAGATGTTAGTTATTATGTGGTTTTAGTTGGAGTTTAAGTTTTGTTTTTACCGAACACAACTTAAAGGCTTGGTCACTCATATTAAATATGTTTTGGGGTCAATTAGAAATTGATAATAGAAGTTACGATGTTCCCATTGGAAGTTTGACAGTTTCGTTAAACAAGTGTTGAACAATAGTACGATAAAATGGAAACAATCGTTTAAACTAATTTTTATCACTACTGACTTATGTTTATATGAAACCGGAGTATCTACTGAGTTCTGATGAATAGTTAAATGTTTGTTTTAATTCGACTATTTATTCATTTTGAATCATAGTTCACGTATCAAGGCATCTAGCAGATATTCTCATTTTTGCATTCCATACTTCTAGTGAAATATTTTGGTTAGATATTCGATCCATTGCTGAAAATTATTTGTTATACTCCACAGTTTCAGTCTACCTGAATAATTTATATATTAAAAGGTATTTTTATGTTCTACTTTTGTACCAAAGTATGTTTGGCCAATTCGAATGAATTATAAGACAAGTATCAAACTGAAATAAATGCATAATATAATCATTCTTTTTATAGTTGATGTTTTTAAACAACACGATGATTTTGATACCAGAATCAACGATTTAAGTAAGCATGCATAACTTGTAAGGTATATTTTTATAAGTGATTTATATTTGGCAGAGGCTACCATGTATTCAATGTTATTCATAATTATATTCCTACATGTTCATTGGGTTATACATTCAATATCTTTTTTTATGAGCATATGGCCTAAAATAGAAAAATTTTGTACATTATTTAGAGTCGATGGTAAAGAATCAAGGACTTAAAATTGGTGAGTTGTTTTGTGAATGGTCAATAATTAAGCACTAATAAATGTTTCAATTAACAAATTCATGTCTACTTATAACTGTGTGTAATGTAATTATAAAATGTATCATTTACAAAGCAACTAACAATAATAAATTGCTATAAACTAATTAAAATAATAGCAGATCCATTGCGAAGGTTCATTGAAGGATATGGAGATAAAGGCGGTATGTAATTATTTAACTTGTTAAAGAATAGTAAAATACAAAACTGACTCCTTATTTAGAATTAATTATTTTAGTAATTATTATTAGTTATTTTATCATAAAATATGCTTAAATCATAGCTAACTAACTAAACTAACAATATATAAACTTAGAATTTTGACAAAATTCGTAAAAACCATGACTATTTTCAAATTATATTTAAGTAGAAATTCATACAAATTTTCATATTCATATCTAAGAATTAAAAATTCACAGAATAACAGTTATAATTTTGCTGCAATTCGGTTAAAAAACAGCCCAATTTCAAATAGGTATAATTAATATTTTTCATTATCAATGATATTTTAAGAAGAATGATAATTCAACTCATCGTCTACCATTTTAATAATGAATAAAAACAATGTATTACACTAACTTTCCGTTTGCCCACAGATTCGTTTATCTTCTACAATGTAATGATATCATTGAATTCAAATTTCATAACATCTTTAACAGCGACCTCTTAGACACCTACTGTAAAAAAAGGCCACAGTCACTTACAAGCTTTTTTTTTTTAAGCTCCAGAGATTTATCTATCAACAAAGAAATTTTGTAATGCATACAGGAAGAATGAAAATTTGTAATATGGTAAGAAATATTTTATTATTGTTATCAATTCACAGATCACAATAATTAACTGTTTTTTCTGATTACTTAGATCCAGTGGTTTCTAAAAGTAGAGGTTTCAATTGCTTCAGGTGAGTACATATCATAATTATTTCTTTCTACATGTTGTGAAATATTTCACTAGAACATGAAACATTTAAGATATTAAAGCATTGAGTTAGTTTTGACGGTATTAAAAACGGAAACCGGTATTGCGATAGTATTAAAAATTATATTTTGGGTACCGGTATGAAACGGTTTACCGAAATATCGGGGTATACAGCAAAACTGAAACATACCGGAACACCGTGACACCGGAAAACCGTAATACAGTTTAATAATCAAGATCCTTAGTATCACAGATCAGTGTGCATCTTCCTTATCGCTACAGAAGCAATATGTATTTTTTTTTCGAATATTAATTTCAACGAAAATCGGTACAACAAAAAAACCGTCACTCGGTACATCGAGAGTGCGATATGTATAAAGGCTTACAGAATACCATTTCAACGGTATTTGAGCAAATATCGGTATATCGATGTAATTCTGATAATACTATTTACTAATACGTACTATACGTACTATACCGATTAAATTCTGAAACCATGATGAACAGTATCACGAATCAGTGTGCATCTTCTTATCGCTACAACAGCAATAAGTATTATTATTTAGGAATGTTAATTTTAAAAAAAATAGTCATCCCTCGTTACAACGGTAGTACGGTGTGTAAAAGTATACTGAATTCCATTTCAGTAGTATTTAAGCAAAAATCTGTACAACGATTTAATTCTGATTATATTAAGTGCTTGTTATAGACTTTTTATAGCAAACATTTTTTTCTCTGGCATCTTCTCTTGTTCGACGACAAAGCATTAATACAACTATTCATGTAACTAAATATAAGATTATAATATACTTCTTTAACAAATAATTATTAGATGTCTGCTTTTAAAATTTATTTTCTTAATTTAAAATTTAAACAAGAATTTTTTATTAATTTTTTTATCTTCATTTATCATAAAATTGATAATACATAACAAATTGATTTCACGATGGAAAAAATTAACAAATGATAAATGGAACTAAAAAAAATAAAAATAAAAATAATTAAATTATTGAAATATGTCATGCAACATTAAAAAATATTTTATTTCATCAAATTATTAAAAACTATAGGTGCTTCAGCTAGATGATAAATGGTGAACATTATTAGCACAAGGTAGATAAATATATTAATCTTACTTATTAACTACTTTATATTGACCAACAAGTTTATAAATGTTTAGCTTTTGTCGAATTTGATAACTATACTCTATTTCCTCCGAACGATAATTAACAGTGAATAGCTAATATAACTAAAAACAAAACTCACAGAATTAAATAAGCTAGCACGTTTATATTCTTGAATAAGTACACGAATACAATATATTTAATCAACACTTTATATACATATGCTCCTGTTCTGAGCACTAAAGTAATATTTATAAATTTAGTTCCAATGAGTACTGTACCTACTGTGTTGGATTCCCAGATTTTATTCCTAGACAAACGCATTCTAATTTAATAAATTTACATTTCATATTCATATTTAAAATAAACATATAGCCATAAAGAAGAAAATTTTATAATTATAGTAAAAACAATGTAAATATCGAGGGGTAAATTAAATTGTTAAAAATTTCATATTTTTACTGAAGACTATTTGAATACAATGACAAAATCACAATTCTCAATTATTATAAAAATGAGTAATGCTGGTTGACATGATTATAATGCATTCTACTCATATACGTTATATAGTAACTTGTACATAAATTATTCTATTAAAATATTTATTGTTACTATAATTAAGTATAATGTATTTAATTTAAAATCAAGAAACCAAATTAAGTGTAACTGTTATATTTTTATTTTTATTTTCAGATATACTTTCTACTTCATCTGAATATTATATTGATTTTTTGTTTTCGGAAATAAATCTTATTATTATATAACTTAGCTACATGATAATTATCTAAATGCAGCTGTTATATTTATTATGACAGTAATGTTTGTGTAAATTACTGATTCATTGTCATCACTCACCGTACTTTTATGAGTACCTACTTTTACTGTATTATTATTTATTATTTTTTTGAAATATTACGTACTAGTGTATTTTTACAATTTTAAATGAATTTATTGCCTTTACATTCCTTCATTTTGTTTACAGTTATAACTCTATATTATTATTTACATTCGCTTCTCATTGCACTGTGATTCGCCCATACACGTGTGGTTTAGTACGTACCATAATTAGCGATCGTCTTCGAGCTTGCAAGGGCAATGACTTATGACAACCATGGCGTCGACTTATGCTGTTGCTCTTATCAGGTTCCCTATCACTCTATACTTGTTATAATTTGAAAAATCAAAATTGATGTTGCTATTGGTACAACTGCGTGTTTAAACATTTATAAATTCTCAATAAAGGGGAGTAGATTAAAATGTTTTATAGCATATTTTTTAAAATTAGATTATTATTTATTATTTGTAATGCTGTTTACGGCTGACTTGAATGATAATTCGTTTGTATGAAACATTATACCTACTATTTTATATTGTTTTCAAAAATAAAATAAATTCTCATATGTTGATAAGTACATGCAATTACCCAACAATCCCGGGAGACTGAAGCTCAATCAAGCCACTCCCTCCCCCCTAGTTATGCCTATGAATGGTGTATAGTATGAACAATGTCTTTCAAAACAACACTTTATACGGGCGATCTACGTTTGCGGCTTCATATTATGTGACAAAAATAGTGAAAAAATTATTGGTTAAATTTTCGTATTTAATAAACACATCTATATAAGGACCCTTCTAAAACCTACATGATAATATGAAATAATGACAGTCTGATTTCACCAAATAACAAATTGTGAATTGTTAATATTGTTAAAGACGTCAGTGTCGTTGACAGTGTAAGTACAATGTAATGACATTCCGAAATCACTGAATACCGATATACGAGTATATGATGTTTAAATAAGATTACAGATTTATAGATAAATTTTGACACCTACGCTTATTGAAAGTATATAAAATATAGACAGATTATCCTTTTACTATAAGTAGTAAAAATCCACTGTAGCCACCGATTCAAATAGTTAGGGTAATATAAATATTTATATTCAAAACCAAAACTGTTTTCGGAAAAAATAAATAATCATACTATAAACCGAAATCAAAAACAGAAAAAAAATTATATCAGACACCCAAATCGAAATAATATAACATTTTTTCGATTTCAAGGTCCTCCATAATGACTTGCATATTATTTCGTTTTGTCTTGAATCCACATGATGTTTAGAAAAAAAAAAAATAGTTTCCATCTTTCAATGTAATCCTAATTTTGGAGAATTTGGCACAGCTATTATAGGTGATTAATACAAAATATATAGTAGAATTTTTTTTTTTATTATTATTATTAAAAAGTGTTACTGACATCAAGGTCATCTAACTTATTGCTATAAAAATTTTTTTTTTACATTCGATAGTTGTTAAAAATAAATAAATAATAAATACAATAAATACAGTAATTTACATTGATGAATAGCTAAATAATGAAATATGACATCGAAATAATTAGTTTAACTAGGTGTGTGATTTTTTTTTATGAATATTATTGGTGTTGAGAAAGGGCATCATGAGGACGTCCGCGCTTAAGACGACGGAGGGTAGGCTTGTCGTTGGGTTTGAAATATTTTGCACTTTTGGCGTTGTTTAGCTCGCGAAAGAAATTGACTGATAGATTCTGTATGTAGGATTTAACCATAGGGAGTCTGAAGTCTGTATGGAGTGCTTCGTTTCTGACGAACCCTGGCGCGTTGGATATTATGCGTAAAATCTTCGACTGGAAGACTTGAATTTTATTTATGTGAGTTTTGGCACAGTATCCACAGATAGGGGAAGCATACAGAATTAATGGTCGTAGAATTTGCTTATAAAGAAGCATGGAGCACTTCCAGCTTAAGGCAGTTTGACGGTTGAATAAGCGATAAAGAATTTTAAGTCGTTGGCAGCCTTGTTGAAGTTTCGAAGAAATGTGAGGGTTCCAGGTTAAATTTTTGTCTAAGATAACTCCTAGATATTTTTTTGTTGGAGACCAGGAAATGTTGTCGCCATTAAGTACTAGGGAGGGAGGGAGGGCTATTGGGACGACGAAGTGTAAATAATACTGATGTACGTTTTGAGGGGTTTAAGATAATTTTCCATTCTTTCGCCCAACATTTTATTTTCTTTAAGTGGCTCTGTATATTTTCAGTTACCATGTTTACATCACTGGAGCTTGAATAGACAACACCGTCGTCAGCGTATAGTGAAACTTCTGTGTTAGATGTAGTGGGAAAGTCCGCGATGTACAAATTAAAAAGCAGGGGAGAGATTTTGGATCCTTGAGAACACCAGCTGCTATTTTTTTTATTGTCGAACTGGTGTCATTATAGTAGAATAATAATAATTCGTCGGTCATGGCAAATTGAAATTATTAATATCATCAAAACCTTGTTGTTTCTAAATACTCGAAGGTACGTACTCTAAATTTTTTAAGTAAATCGTTACGTTATTTTTAATTTATTTTTTTTTGGTAAAAACTTATTCAATCCATTGTATTTTTCTACGTATAAAAACGATTAGACATCTGTTCTAAATACTTAGAGCCACTGCGGTTTATTTAATTTGCATGCTAAATATTTACTAAGGTGATATACACACAACAAAATAGTACCAACAATGTACCTGCTTAACAGAATGTGGTATGACCTACTTATGAGAAATCTTGTTTAAAATTTTTAATACTTATAACGACAAAAGTTACAAATATGTTACAATAAAACAGTTTAAGATATTTTGATGAATTTTGTCAAAATTTGAACCGTATCTATTTATAAAAAAGAAAATTTAGGCCATATACCAACAATTATTCATACAGTTTTATATTGGATGATATGATACGGTTTTGTGTACTCAAAGATTTGTTGTTATTTTCATCGTAATGATGTATGTCTGATTGAATTATTCTCTAGGTATTGAGTTGGATATTATTTCTCTCAAGTCGAGAATGCAAATATTAAAATTGATGAGAACTTTTTCTATTGCATACACCTTATAATGTCAAATATTGTTTAATCATAAAAGTGAATATTTATTAAAATGTGTTTTTTTATAGTAAGTTCCCTCCATACAATTTTCTGAAAAATTAATTTTTTTTGTAATTTTGATGTATGAGTAGTAATTTGGTCTCTATTTCAGTATTTCTGTATTAATATACACCACATTTTTTTTTGAAATCAAACATAAATGTCTTGAAATAATATGAAATATAAGTTAATTATGAAGTTGTAAAAGAAAAAATGCGACGAAGGGTCGACTGTTTTTTTCTTTAGGCTAGATGTTAAAATTTAACATACTATACATACACAACAATACCATAATTAATATAAGAATAATAAAATGTCATATGCACTATTGAAAAATGCTTATTCTAAGGTTTTGTTCGATACATAAACTTTTTGGTTTCATGTAGACCAAAAAACGTTATTTACACACTACTATTTTCCCAAATGGTTTACCCAGTTGCACTAGATCACATTTCGTTTAATATTTCAGAATAGACTTATAAAATAATACTGTGGTCTAACATTTTTTGATAACATTCTTACTGCATATTTCTAAACAAAATCATTATTACTAATTTTTTGTAAGTTCCTAACAAGATGGTTAAACATATTAATTCGTTGTATTTATGTTTTATGTTCTGTGTAGTAGGAAATATAGACGCAGCATTTAAATCAAATAAAGGTGAGTATATCTTATCTTTTTACTACATATTATAAAAAAATAAATTTATAATACTATGATGTAATGGCCTTGTTTAACTAATACTACATACATGATACTGTTAGGCCATCTTTGATATTATTTGTGTATCATTTAAAGTTGTATTGTGTGTTATATAAATTTGTATAATAATACAACAAGTAAACCAGTATTAGAAAAATTGTTACCACGTAATTGAATTATCGTCTTGCCATTAGTTTTAAGACTCAAAACCCATCACATTTATACACACCAACACATCCACCACACAATCCATCACTCTTGAGTCGGTATACAAAAATACACAAAAATACACTGTTTTTTAGGTGAGTAGTGGTGTAACGTGAAGTAATTCGGTGACCGGGGTGCACGGCCTACGATAGTTTGTAAACGGAACGCAAACAAAAGTTTTTTAAATTGCAGTATATCAATATTTAATGATATAACGTGGGGAGGTTCTCTTAGCGGCGAATAGTTCAGCGGTGAAAAATTAAATGTCCTAGACCCCCATTTCATCAATTCGTATTCCTAAATAACTGTGGTATTTTTAAATTTAAGTATTTAACAAATCGTGTTATCTCTATAAGGACCCTTCCAAAACCTATATGATAATATATGAAATAATCACAATCTGATCTTCAACAATTAACAAATTGTGAATTGTTAATATTGTTACTGACGTCAGTGTCGTTGACAGTGTAAGTACAATTTATTGTATACATTTAAGAATGAAATTGTGGAATCACTGTATACCGATGTACGAGTATATAATGTTTAAATAACATTACGCATTTATAGATAAATTTTGATACGCTTGTTGAAAGTATATAAAATATAGACAGATTATTCTTTTAGTATAAGTAGTAAAATTACACTGTTAGTCACCGATTCAAATACATATTATATAATATTATAACAAATTATAAAGACAAAACCATATCATAAATATAAGAATAATTAAAAATTGTATGCACTATTGAAAATTGCTTATTCTAAGGTTTCGTTTGATACATAAACTTTTTGGTTTCGTGAAGACAGCCAAACGTTATTTACACGGTATTATTGTCCCAAATGGTTTACCTAGTTGCACAAGATCACATTTCGTTAAGTATTTTAGAACAGACTTATAAAATAATACCATTGTTTAACATTTTTTTAATGTCATACTTATCGCATATTTCTAAAAGAAATCATTATTATTAATTTTTTGTTCTTACCTAACAAGATGGTTAACACATTAATTTGTTGTCTTTATGTTTTATGTACTATATAGTTGCACCTGTAG